TCTCTCTCTCTCTCTCCCCCTCTCTCTCTCTCTCTCTCTCTCTCACGCACACACACGCACGCACGCACACACACATGCATACAAGTGCGGCTAGCACATAGCCAAAGTCAATGAAGAAGAAGACTCTGGCAGAAAAGCCTCAAGACTGACAACTACCTGATCAGTGCCTCCCGACCTGTCTACCAGAGGGAGTAAAGAAACCAGTTTCCCCTCCCTCCCGCCTTATGTTTTCCCTCTTCTGCTTCCCCCACAACGGCTACCCCTCAACCACCCCATAGCAAGAAGAGGGATCAATGGTACCAGATCGAGCCACCAGCATTGAGCTGCATGCCACTTACAACACCTGTGAATATTCATGCTCGTTATTTTTTGTTGTTGTGCCCAACGAACATGTGAAATGCCTCGTTGTTTCTCTCATCTGTGAACCTGTACCCAAGCTTTGCTGCTGCAACGACAAACTCCTCCTCGTGCTCAGGAAGTACTTGAACCCCCACCAAAACATGGCCGCGCTCCTCGCCCTACATGTACACAAACAAACACACGCACATGCGAACACGCGTACAGCCCGGTGCATATGAACATTTCATCGCCCATACACCAACACAGCTAGGTGAAAAAGAAGTACAGACCAGTTAAAACAACGATGAACATTTGCAGCGTGGACAGCCAGGTACATACAATCCTACATCCACATATTTCACACACCAACACAGGATCGTGTGCATGTACTCAAAAAAACACACAAACTTGCAGCAACCGAGCGGGAGAGAAAATTGGGCAAGCAGCAGAAAGACAGATCAACCAAACAGCTTGCTAGCAAGCAGGGCAGACTGCTTTCCTTCTTTTTTGACCAAATGATAAAAAATCATAAAACAGATCCTCATGGTCCCGCCTCCGTTCCCGTTCTGGGAACCGACAGTCTGGTTCCTTTCCCCCCCGCAAGTGCCATGGTAGAGTAGCGACCAGACTCACCAAAGTGAGAGACAGAATAATGAAGGGGGGAAAGAAGGCAAGTAGCAGGGTAGATTGGTGACCAGAGCAACGGACAGAATAAAATGAAGGGAGGGTACGAAGGCAAGTAGATGGGTAGTTTGGTAACCAGAGTGACAGACAGGAGAAAATGGAGGAGGGTAAAAAGGCAAATAGCAGGGTGGATTGGTGATCAGAGCGACAGACAGAATAAAATGGAGAGGCGGTTAACAGAGGCCCTAATTTTCAGACAACTTGTGATGGCATTTATAACAAAATCCAAGGGTCATTTTAACCAAACTTGACACCAAGTCATAGAGTAGAGACCATGTGGGGAGGCTAAGAAGGCAAGTAGAAGGGTAGATTGGTGACATACAGAATAATGAATGAAGGGTGAGGAGGATTGGCAACAAGAAGCAGCAACACAAAAAGGGAGATAAGTGGAGCAGGGGGGAAAGGCATGAGAGGCATGCAGAGGGATAAATGGGGATACAAGGGAACAGACAAGGAGTAGAGGGTTAGAGAGAAGACAGGAGGGGGGGCGGATGAACGGGAAGAGGAGTGGAGCGATGGACAAGCGGATGTATGGATGAGCAGACAGATGAAGGCATGAAAACAGAGAAACAGGAGGGAGAGAGCAGGAAAGAGGGACAGAGGAGAGATGGATGAAGAGAAAGAACGAGAAGGAAGGGGAGAACACCATGGAGAGAAGTAGACT